TCATTAATTCATGACAGGAGTCTCCTTACTATACCACTTAAACTACTTTATAGTTGAAGAAATGGGAATAAAGAATAAATTACTAATAGATCATTTGAGTAAGTAAGCAATCTTAGAATACTTCCTGGCTCCAATTCCTTTTGATTATTCATTAATTTAGTATTTCTTAAACATCTTCTTCTATCTGCATGCAGTATGATAGATTACAAAACAGTTTAAGATATGAAGTCGGTCCTCAAGAAGCAATTATCAGTTAGGAGGACAAAGCAAATACATAAAACTGATATTCAAAAGCAAGGCAATATATGAGTAAGTGCCAAAATAAGTGGTATGGCCATTTATAAAATTAACTAATTTACACTGACTTCATCCTGTACCTTTTATAGTTAGAATCTACCCATCAGAAATCAATATTCAATTTCTTCTCTATGTTAAGAAAGTTGGTCTTTAGTGAAGGAAAGCTATTGTCCTTGTGTGAAATTAATCTCTGTCCCCACATTTCATATACACCAATATCACTACCACCACATCACCCCACATGCCAGGATAGGCTTTTGTAGAGATCAAAGTTTGTATAATTTTTATGCAAAAGCCTAATTAAAAGTTTGGCCCTGTTCAAATGGTAAGAGAAACTCCTCTCCTGAACCATCTTCCTGATCATATGTGGTAGACTGAAGATCCCAATTCTTCATTTCCCAGCAATAGTATCACAAGTCCATATATTACCATGGCCTCATTATAGCCAGAGTGTACTTCACTACTCCTTGTCTTGGTCTTGGCCAAATGGGATGTCAGAGAAACAAGAATCTGAAAATGGCTGGTGGGACTGGGCTTGTCCTCTTGTACTTCTGCCATTGCCATGAAACAAGCTTCCCCCAGAGAGATGTTACCCTTCCCTCCAGCCTGGGCCCAAGAATGAGACAAATGGAGCAGAATAAATGCTTATTGTTGTATGTCACTATGATTTTGTGGTTACCAGCTATTATGCAGCAAAAGCTGACTGAATCACAATATTTTAAAAATCCAAACAATCAAGACTGATTATATAAATCAGTGGTCCTCAAACTTGCCTAAGGGAGAATCTTTCAGGTTTCCAAGTTTAAAAAAAGTATAGGTCCCAGAGAGATCCTTTCAGTACATCTAGACTATAGTGACAGAGATACGCATTTTATCAAAAACCACAGGTGATGGGGCGCGCAGGTGGCGCAGTCTGTTGAGTGTCTGACTCCTGGCTTTGGCTCAGGCTGTGATCTCACGGTCATGAGATAGAGCCCTGCATCTGGCTCTGCACTCAGCACAGAGTCTGCTTAAGACTCTCTCTCCTTCTCCATCTGTTCCTCCTGCTCATGCTCTCTCTCTCAAATAAATAAATCAATTAAAAAAAAAAAGCAAAAACCCAGGCATCTGGGTGGCTCAGTCAATTAAGCATCTGCCTTCACCTCAGGTCATGATTCCAGGGTCCTGGGATGGAGTCCTGCATCTGGCTCTCTGCTCAGTGGGGAGCCTGCTTCGCCCTCTCCCTCTGCCTGCCACTCCCCCTGCTTGTGCGGGCATTCTCTCCCTCTCTCTCTGTTGAATAAATAAATAAAAATCTTAAGAAAAAAAAAAAAAATCCACAGGTGACCCTGTTGCAGTGCCCACATGTTAAGAAATACAAAAATAAAAATTACTAAATTTCCAGTTCCCCAACAATATTTATTAACTTCAGTGCTCAAGAACCCTAACTAAATAGATGAATTTTCCTTTAGACAAATTTGTATTCCTAAAGAGATGTAAAACTGAAATCTAATCAAGGTAGGTGCACCTGGCTGGCTCAGTCAGCAGAGCGTGCAACTCTTGACCTCAAGGTTGGGAGTTCAAGCCCCAGAGTTTACTTTAAAAAAAAAAAAAGAAGAAGAAGAAAGAAAAAAATCTAATCAAGTGAATTATTTCAAATGCAGGAAGATTCAACTGACAATGATGTCAGTCCAGCCATTAGACACATCTGAGCCAGCCAAGGAGGAGAACTATGATGTGATGCAGAATCCCGAGGTCCTTCAGATGCTCTGGAGAACCTTCCAGGAGTGAATCCCAACAAAGGGGCCGTTCGAAATGTCATGGGCTCCCCGGCCTCCCAGGCCACCAAGGATGGCAAGAAGGCAAGAAGGAGGAGGACAAGAAGACTGGAGGAAAGGGTAGCTGAGCCCGCTCAAGCGCCTGCACAGAATAGGGTGGGATATGGGGTTACATATGTTATCTGTTGCCATTACAATCTAAATAAAGAGTGACAACTTTTTTTCCAAAAAAAATTTTTTAACAGAAGCTGATTCTGCAATAAGCATTGCATTGTATTATATCCTTTTATTAAAATTAAGAATTCATTTATAACCAAACAAGCACATTGTATTTTTTATAAATTCTAATTTTTTGCATACAAAATGTTCTTAGAATTAAGGAATCCAAGAACTAGACAGAGTAAGTGGGAGAGAGGGATTCAAAAGAAATAAAGGATTTATCCATGGCCCCCAAGAGGGATGTGATATCAACCAGTCTTCCAGTATTTTTTTCCTATCAGCAACACTATTTGCACCTATCTGGTTACATCACTACATCTATGTATCCCAAGTCCACACAAGCTCTCTCTAGTCACCCTGCACCTAATGAAACTGTACTAGCCACTCCAATATTAGGCAAAGTTTTATACATTTAGAACCATGACATCTGCATAACCAGTGCTGAATGATGATCCTGTCAAGTGTCCCTACTTATTTTCAAAAGCTAATCTAGTAAAGGCACTACTCTATCTTATGTTCCCAATTAGAGTGAGCTGTTGTTACCATAATGTGATAGGTAAGGGTACAGGCTATAATCCTGGCTCCACAATTTACTCTGTGGTGAGTGATTTAAATTCTCTGTACTTCACTTGCCCTCTCTGTAAAAGGAACATAATTAAACCTAGAGTACAGAATTGTCATGAGGATCAAATGAGAAAATACATGTAAAGCTAGTAGAAGAGTTGCTGGCACAGAGCAAGCACTCAATAAACACTAGCTATTATTGTTATAGCTCTGAAATTCAGCTTCACAAATTTTGGCATCTGGTACTATGTGTAATACTAAAGAAAAAAAAGAAGACTAATACCACTTTAAGTAGTGATTCTTTCAATCCCTCCGTTTTAAAGGACATTATTCTATTTTATTTACCAAATACAAATTAAATGTATTTTTAAATCAATGTTCTTTCCCTTACTGTTATCAGTTCTGATCACAAAATGATAAGCCTGTAACTATAAATGAGAATCTACATTCTAAAAAGGTTAAGAATAACAAAGAACAATGCAAAGTCTGTGTTCTGAGATTTCTGCTCATAAAATGACTGCTTAAGCCTAAAGCCTTTTACTCTCTTCATATTTTACAGGAATCACAAGACTTACAGCAAGAGAATTTAAATAGCTAACACACTATAAAGAAACCTAGAAAAAATTGTTCATTTTTATCCCAAAAGGAATTGTGATGTTTAAGGATAATGAAATGCCAGTTTCAAAATACATTCAGTTCAAAAGTTTGAATTCTTTTAATACTACATAGATTTATCATAAACATAATAGACATTAATCAACCAATATCAAAGGCACTAAAGGAAACTTCAAATTTTCTCAGAATTTTCCCAATGCATAGTTTTAAGGAAATAAGCAAGCAAACTCTGTGTCTAGCATAGCAATGAGAAATTTATTGAATGTGAAAAGTACACACTTGTATAAATTAAAAAAGTAATTGGAAAGCTGTTATATTGTCCTTTACTCAGTTTTAAATGCATAATCTATTTGGCCATCCTACACCAAACTTAAGAATTATATGTACAGGGCGCCTGGGTGGCTCAGTTGGTTAGGCGACTGCCTTCGGCTCAGGTCATGATCCTGGAGTCCCGGGATCGAGTCCCGCATCGGGCTCCCTGCTCGGCGGGGAGTCTGCTTCTCCCTCTGACCCTCCCTTCTCTCATGTGCTCTCTCTATCTCATTCTCTCTCTCAAATTAAAAAAAAAAAAAAAAAAGAATTATATGTACAGTTCACTCCCAAAAATGTCTAAAAGCTTATCACCAAAAGACTGCTTGAAAAATAACTGTAAACAGAAATGAGGCTTTCTCTAAGGTGTCTGGGAACTAAAAAGAAAATATCCTAAGGAAAGGATGACTACCATTTCCCTTTAAGCTTAGTAAAATGTCAAAGAACTTTCAGGACTCAAATATGCTAGACATCTGATGTGAGGTCAAAGTTGTCTCAATGACAGGAACCAACAGATACCAGATGACTAAAATATAAAGTTATCAACAATACTTTCAAGCCCAATAGTAATTCCAAAAGCATATAAAATACGAGTGTATTTACGTTGAAAAGATGGAAATATAATTACCAAAATACTTTGGAACAAAATAATACTAACGACAATGATTAACAATATCATACAACGTATTAAGAATCTCAAAGTTCCGGCTTACTCAACATTTATCCAATTCATTCGGTAACATTTCGGAATAATGAAAGTAACATGGATTCCCAAAGAATGATCTAAATCTAAAAATAAGGTTAAAGTGTGTGTTCTATAGTTGATGTTCTTTTTACTGTAAGCCAAATCAGCTTCTTTACGTTAAAAAAAAAAAATCTACAGCTCTGTTTCCAAAGATCTCATAATAGACACTGTTCATTGGCGATTAAAATATTATTTTTAATCCCTGCATTACCTCACAGCTAAAAATGTCAAGATACCACACCCAATATGTCTTTCCCCCCCCCCGTGGGGGATGGGGAGGGGGGATATGGGAGTAGGGATTCGAAACTACACAAAACCAGGCAGGGTTATTTCCCTAGAAGGAACGGGAAAGGCGCGCAGGTACCGGACACGGTTCCCTCCACATTGACTGCGGGACGCGTCGCGAAGGGCGAGCGCAGGCCTCGGCCTCTGCGGGCTCCCTCGCCCGCCACCCGCTGGGGCAGTGGCCCGACGCGCCGCCCGGGGCTACTCACCGGCCGCAGTGCTGACCAGCAGGACGGTCCACAGGAGCGACGGCACCCACCGGGGCCGCTGCAGCGAAGAAGTCATCCCTGGGCCAGCCGAGAAGCAGCAGAGCAAAGAAATACGGAAAGTAAACACGGGCGGAGAGGTACGGCCGGGAGGCTGGTCCTCGCTCTCGTCTGACTTGTCCGGCCCGTAGGTATTACAGTGCAGTTTGAAAGGACAAATGGCAGATGAGAGGACCTAGCTGCAGAGCTTTCATTCCGCTGCAGAAATTCCCTTCATTTCTCTCCCTCGCGGCTGGAGAGGTTCATTCGCCTAGGACGGGGTGCCTCGGCCACCCAAACTGAAGGCATGTCCGTGTGGAGAAGCAGGGAGAAAGAAAGCCCAGCAGTTATTTCCCTCGTAGTTTCACGATGTCAAAAAAATATCCAGGTCTGGGAGAAAACATATCCAGGGTGCAGGGGGGTGGAGAGCGGGGATTCGATGGCGGGGCTGAGGATCAGAACAAGTTCCCGACCGCCGCGAAGGGCGAAGCCGGGCGGGCGGCGGCGGCGCCCGGCCGCACGAGTCGCATCGCCCGTGGCTCCGGGAGGGCAGGATTCCTTTTTAAGTTTCGCTTCGGTGCTTCCTTCACTCGGATTTCGAGAACAACAAACCCCGTTCCTCGACTGAATCGAAAAAGGTGCCTGCCTCCATGGACAAACCCACACAGCCTTCAAGCCTTCGCCGAACAATCCTGCGAGGTTCTGCCAGGGCCCGGCCGGAGGGCTGAGGGGCAGTAGGAAGCGGGGGAGGGGAAGGGTCAGCAGGCAGGGCCCCGAGCTCCCCGAGACGGCGGGCGGAGAGGAGGTGCGGGGAGCTGCCCTTTCCAGCCCTCCCGGATTCGCTCCTCTCTCTCTCTCTCTTTTTTATTGCGGCCGCTCGATCTTGCCTGAGGTAAATTCCACGAAGAAAAGCCTCGTCTTCTCCCGTCAATGGCTCCTGTGAGCGAATCACAACCCCCACCCCCGAGGAAGCCGCTGCCGCTGCCGCCGCCGCCGCCTCGTTCTCCCGCAGCTCTGGGCCCCGGGCGGAGCTCGGGCGTCGCGGGCCGAGGGCGGGGGGCGGCGGGAGGGCGGAGGTAGGTGGCTGGCTGAGGAGGGGGGTGGGCGACGGGGCGGCGAGACACCCCGCACCCCTCCGGGAAGCACTTCCAGTGGCTCCGAGCAGACCAGACACAAAGGGGGGAGTCGCCGCAGCTGCCAGTCTGCGGCGCTCCCGGTCACCGGAGTCGCCCCGCCTCCACCGCCGCCTCCGCCTCCTCCTCAGTCTCCGGCTCTTCCCGGCCCTGTCTGTCTCGGGCCTGTGGTGCAGCGCGGGCGGCGGCGGCGGCGGCGGCAGTGGCGACGGCGCGAGGAAGCCCGCACTGCGCCTGCGCGCTCGCGGCCCCGCCCGGCCCCGCCCCTCGCTCTCGGGCTAGCTGAGAAGGACTCCGCGGCCCTCGCGTAGCGTGTCTCTCCTGGGCCGCCGAGGGCAGGGTGGGGCCGGCAGCCCGCAGTGGGCAGCAATGGCCTTTCTCCGTCATACACGTAAACCTTCCATACGTGCACTCCCGGGATCTGTGTATGTGTTTAAGAGAGAGCGGCCACATCTTTTGTCCAGCCTTGGCAAACTCCTCTGAGCTGGGTGATGTAGCCGCGGACTGAGGTGTCGCGGTCTCCTCCGGGACTCCTGGCGTAAAGCCTTGAGGGGCGGAACTGCCCTCGTTGTTTCTTGGGGCCGGAGCCTACCTCTCCGTATCCCAAAGAATCCAGAAGAACCCTCCTTTCCCAGAACTGTAGACCTTGGCCTCCTCGGGCTCCCCTCACTGACTCAAACAAAAGCCGGAACTGGAAACACCAGCCTAAATGGATATTTTTGCTCTTATCGGTGTACTGCTTCTCTCAAGCGCCCATTACCGTAGCCCTTCTTAGCTGACAGAAATATTGGACATTTGAAAGGATGCGAAGTCAGAAAGAAAACTCTTTTTTAAATTCCATACATTGTCCCGCTGTGTATGCGTCTCTGTCTTTGCCGCGCGGTTTCCACTTCGAGGGTGGGCCTTTATACACAAAGGCTGTGGGCCTTAGGGGCTTTTTAGGACATGTGAAAGGAAAATTGCGGTGAGGAGTTGCTGCCCCAGAGCAAAGAATGACACGCACCCAAGGAAATGAAAAGGTCCTGTTGGTACCAAAGCTTCCTGGAAAGGATCTGTTTAGTCGGTTTTTCGAATTGCAAAAAACCCAAGCAACCAGGATAGGAGAAGGAATTCCTCCCCCACCCCCACCCCCGGCCCTGCAGGCTTTGCACACCTCCTGCGGGATCAGGTCGACTTGGGTGGGATTTTGCTGGGGAAAAGGGGAGAAAGTGACGTGCGTGGCGCCATGATCGGAAGTCTGTGTTTAATTCTTAACTGCCAGGTGGAAAAATTGCGTGGGAGGGCGATCTTCGAGGTGAAGTCTAGCCTTCCTTCTAATAAGAACAGTTATTCTGAAGGCTGGTTTGGCTGGTCTTTCATTGTGGGTAAGGTCAGTTCCAAAGACACATTCATACAAACACTCCTGAAGTCATACCCTTTATTTTCGTATCCAAGTCCCCTTTTATCTCTTTATCTGAACTTGATGTAAATAAACCTCCACATTCCTTAAACTAGTTGCTGTTATCATACTAAATATCTAGTATAATTACAGGTTTTGATAATACCAACCCAGGATTCTCAGACTCTTTTTAGTGGAAATATTTTTGTACTGTTTACCCTTCAGGCAGAAAGAAATATTTCTATATAGTAAAATCCCTTAAAAAGAAAAAAATTAGGGGCGCCTGGGTGGCTCAGTCATTAAGCGTCTGCCTTCGGATCAGGTCATGATCCCAGGGTCCTGGGATGGAGCCCCACATTGGGCTCCCTGCTGCTCAGGAAGCCTGCTTCTCCCTCTCCCACTCCCCCTGCTTGTGTTCCCTCTCTCGCTGTGTCTCTGTCAAATAAATAAATAAAATCTTTTAAAAAAAAGAAAGAAATTAGAAGGAGCTTTGATTCATACTTTATTACTATATTTTCTTTGCCCAAAAGGCCTAAAATAAGAAACTGGTATTGTTTTGCCATTTGACTTTCAAGACATAAGATCCAGCACTCAGAGAAATGGGATTTTAGTAAGTTAGAGATGCAGAAAGTTTATTAATTAGCAATATACTGTTCTTTCTCAAATTGGGATTAAGTACTTGGTTATTCTATTTTTATTTGCATAAAAATTTTCCTAAGAAACATTAAGTACCCTTATACATATTATAAATGTATGGTAAAATATATATAAAAAAGAAGAAGAAAGGAGCCTAGGAAATTCACATGAAAAAAATATATGCCACTGACTTGGTAGGAATAATTAGTAGACAACTAGATAGGCAACCCTTTTCCCTTTTCTGTTGCTCCTTGTAATACCTCAGTTGGGACATGGCTTTTCACTCACTATGAGAAAGACCATCAGAGAAGAACTAGAACTGGGCCATCAATATGTCCACGAAGACCAGACAGACAATACAATCAAGCTCAAGTGAAAACAAAGGATTGGCAGGGCAGGCAAGGTTTGTATCTGTGCTAGTCAGGATAGGCTAGATTGTAACAAACATCTCAGCAGCTTATAGCAACAAAAGTTTATTTCTCACACATGTTACATGTTTGATACAGGTCATCAGGAAGCCTATTACAAGTAGGATTCATTGGGAAACAGACCCTGAAACTGAAATTTGCATTCAGGAAGTTATTGGGTAGTCCTCTCAAGAACAACCTTTGGAGACTGAGGGTCACAAAATCACTGGAAAAGGAGAACTTGAACTACAACACAGTTGCAACTGAGGTTTCAGCCAGTCTGCAGGGAGCTTGGAGCTGGGATGGTCCTTCAGCATTGTCCTAAATTGGGACAGGAGGCCCGATCATTATACCCTCCCACCAACCTGTCATTGGATATGGACTGCACCCAGGGAAGGAAGGTGACCCTTGGATGAGAGGACTCTCTTTAGCCAAGACCAACCCTCAGAGGGGAACCCAGCTGAGGGGAGAGGTTGTGCTTTAGTCCTAAAGGGTGGATCTGGGGAGCTCAGGACAATATCCATTACATGGATTCTGCTCATTTTAGTCACTGAGGTAACCAGATTTTGGAGGCTTCACTGAGATACATGCTTTCAAGATTCCTACAGTTAGGGGAGCACCTGGCTGGCTCAGTTGGTAGATCATGTGACTCCTGATCTTGGGGTCTTGAGTTCAAGCCCCATGTTAGGTGTAGAGCCTCCTTAAAAAAAAAAAAAAAAAAGAGAGAGAGAGAGAGAGAGAAGATTGCTACAGTAAGGCTCATAAAATTTATTTACTAGTACTGCAGTGTTTTTGCTCTAACCATTAAAGTGCTTCCACTCAGAAGCAATACACATCACCTCCAATCACATTTTATTGGCCAAAGTCATCTGGCCAAACCTAACTTCAAGAGAAATGTAATACTATACCATGTTACTAGAAGAAGAACATAAAATTTGATAACAGCCTTATTACCACCATCATGTGCAAGGGGGAAATAATCATCAGTACTCTAATCACCAAAAGCCCAAGTAGGGTAGGAGGGTTTTCTAACATAAGGGGAAAACTCTGGCATAAGAAATCAAGAAACGAAGGGAGCAACACAGAAATCCAAAGGGACCAACAGTGTCTGCAAGACTGATGGATCTTCACTCTGTATTATGGCTCCTCATGGATTATAGCTTTTCTCTGAGATAGAAGACTTGTAAAAGGAAAGCTCTGGTTTTAGGAGGGGTCTGGGGAAACTAAGCAAATTATTAGGACAAGCATTAGAATGACATAGGCAGAATCCCTATTATATGAATAAGGACAAATAGGAGTTACCTAAGCTCAGAGATACTGAATATTTCTAAGAACAAACTTTATCATTATAAAGGGATGCTGTCAAAGAAAAATAGAAGAAAAACTCTTAACTCTAGAAGAAAAATAATACAGATGCCCAGAAGTTAGCTCTGGGACACACTACAGGGTCAAAATAATGAAAGGCAACTTGAAGCTGCTTAAAAACTTCAGGACTTAATCTTTAGGACTAAACTGAGGAATGGGACATGGCATAGTCTCCTTTTGGAAGATTAAGGTGTAGTTGTGGGGAGAGGGGAAAACCCAATTGTGCAGTAAAAGAAAAATGAGATTGGAGATTGACAATTGCCCCCCCTTGATAATCTCTGGACCTAAAACAACTTTAAATTTCTCCCTTTCTAAAATAAGAAAAGCTTAGGGGCACCTTGTGGCACAGTCAGTTGGGTGTTCTGCTCAGGTCATGATCTCAAGGTCATGAGATCCAGCCCCCTGTCGGACTCTGTGCTCAGCGCAGAGTCTGCTTGGGATTCTCTCTCCCTCTGCACCCTGGCCCCCTAAAATAAATAAATAAATCTTTAAAAAAGGAAAAAAAAATAAAATAAGAAAAGCATAGGGGTGCCTGGGTGGCTTAGTCGTTAAGCATCTGCCTTCGGCTCAGGTCATGATCCCAGGGTCCTGGGATGGAACCCCACATCGGGCTCCCTGCTCAGCAGGAGGCCTGCTTCTCCCTCTCTCACTCTCCCTGCTGGTGTTCCCTCTCTCGCTGTGTCTCTCTCTGTCAAATAAATAAATAAAATCTTTAAAAAAAAATAAAAGCTTAAAAATAATAATAATAAAGCTTTGCTTTTGGAACCTAGATCTATTGTCCCATTTCTTTCCTTCTCCTTTTGTCTAACTTTTGAAATTTTAGTTAGCCCAGCATCTGGAGTCACCCTTTCCTTTCCTTCCATTTAGAACAAAATAAAATCATCTGAGCTTCCTATCCTGAGTAAATAACAGCAAGAGAACAAGCTTCTCCCCAGGCATTGAAAGATCCCAGAGGAAGACCTATATTTTCCACAAGTTTACCTGATTTGCTCTGGACTTCTCTACTGATATCTTGTAAGAGCTTTTCCTTCCTGATGCCAGACACTGAGCTCTGACACTCTTTAT